TGCAGAGTAGGCACCACCTTGGCTTTTCTGTGTGTTGGCTGAGTACATTTTTTAAGTCACTTGCCCTTATGAGTGTCAGTCTCTTTGCCTAAAAGATAGAAGTTAAGGTCACCTTTGTAATTCCTTCAAGCTCTAAAACTGCAATGATCTTGACGATTACTTTTATTTTTCCAACAGCATTTATGAAAAATTTAATCTTACTTAGCTACTATGCACACAATTTATTCCAAGTTGCTCTCAAGCTTGGCAGGGTGATGCATACTCAGAATACCACCACACATCAGGCTGAGGCTGAAGGATAATTCATTCAAAGACAGCCTGGTGACATAGTAATTTGGAGTTCAGTTTGACATAGACAGTGAGGCCATGCACAGAAAGAAAATGCTTTGAATATATTTTTAAAATTTGCCTTGTATATATTTAATTTGTGATCCAACTTCTTACACTTTTCCTTTTTCACAAGACACCAAGTAGTATCATTAATGTTTTGTTGAAGCCATGGTCCTACATGGTCTTCAATGGTCCTCCAGACTACAATTCTTCTTCAAATGATCCAGCTAATGCTGAAAGTAAAATGCACCCTTACTGAGCCCATCCTGACACCTAATAATTGCTCCATTCATTTCTAATAGTCTGTGTCATATTTCTTCAAAAACGGGGAACTAGAAAATCACCAAAACCATGCCTACGGATTTATGCCTAGTCTTCCTTTATGTTTCCTTGATATGCCCAACTTCCTATTCTATCACCCTTTGGTCCTCCCACTATGGGTTTACTAAAATAATTCCATAATTTAATCTTCATATTCCAGAATTCGTTGATAGCAACAAGCACAATATGGTTTTATGAGCTTTTCTTACGTTCTGGAGAGATTTGGTGTAAGATAAATTACCCACATTATCTTTATTTGTATCACCATTTCCGCGTCAGATTTCATCCTTATTGAGAAGGAAGAAAAGGGGAATAATATTGTCATCAATTTTTAAAGACAGGATCTCTCTGTGAAGCCCATGTCAGCCTCTTGCTTCCAATTATCCTACCTCAGCCCACCCAGGTTATTTGATTACAGGCATCCATCAACATAATCAGCCATTGTCCTTTATACTTATGGAATCAACTTCTCCAGCCATTAGCTCTGTTTCTACCGACTGTGTCTTCTCCTGAAGGAGAAATCAGAGCAAAGAAAAAGCAATAACAAAATCCACTTCCATTTTCATATTCTGTTTTTTACTGTCTGCACTTATAGTTCTTGCTCAGCTTCACACCAAACACACCTATTGCCCTCATCCCTTAACCTTTACCCTCTAGAGCATCCCATCAACTAGTGGGAAAAAGGGTTATCTTATCTCTTCTGTGGAGAATATATTGTATGAATAATTTTAAGTCCTTCTTTTTCTCTTAAACTATATTACTTAAATAATTTCTACCTATTCAAAGTACAAATCTTCATTTAAAATGCTTTGGTCTAAAACATGTATCTAGGCCTTGGTTTTCCTACCTCCTCTCCTACTAATAATAACATAACAGGGTAACTTTCTTCCAAATTTCACATGACTTCCCCATCCTTAGAAGGTTCTTCCTTTATCTTTCAAAATGATGTCCAGTGTAGGAGTTTTCCTTACTTCCTCATGCTTTCTCTAAGAAACCATATGGCCAGTTAGCAAGTCAAGAATGTTTTAAGTGCCTATTTTTTTCAACAAATGGGATGCAGAACTTAGCTGACAACAACCTGGACATCTCCCAACCCAAAGTTTAAATTTTACATTTAAAAAATCCCAGAGAGCTAGAGAGATACTTCAGTGGCTAAAACATTTTCTCAGTGGCATAAACACAAAGACCTGAGAGTCCACATGAAACCACATGTGGTAGCCTGTAACAACAGTTCTCCTATGGCAAGACAGAAGGTAGAGACAAAAGAACCTCCAGAAGTCTGTGTTTATAGAAAGGTAGAAAGTGAGGACCATCCCCTGAGGATCCCCTGTACCTCCACATATGTGCTGTGGCAGGCATGCATTGCATTAACACATGGATATGTACACACAAAGAAAGCTCATATTGACATCAGGTAGAGAGTGGATGATACACACCAAACACTGCCTCTGTTCCTCTTTCCTGCGTTCTCCCTGGCTGAATATCCCCATGTTCCAAGTCTCAAGATGATGGTCTCAAACGGAGGTAGAGAAGAAGAAGAGAACAACCCTGGTACTGGAAGTCAAATGCCTAGTTTTTCATTTTGATTTTCTGCTACACTCTAATTGTAAAACTATGAAAAGCTTCATAAGGTCATAGAATTCACTTTTGTATGTTGAAATGAAGATAATAATTCCACCAAAAGGCTTTTACATATTCCCCTCCCCCAAAAATGAATGTGTGGATTTAGACACACACCACATACTCACTACAAGTGGTAACTGATTTTACAAGAAAATGAATCCATCAGAGGCACAAGCCAAATTATGAATATTGTTCTCTAGAAATACTATTAGACTGAGGAGGAAGGCAAAAGACGTTAATAATCTGCCTTCTGTGGTATCTACTTATAAATTCAGAATTATTACTTTTATAACTAAGGAAACTAATTTTAGAAGAATAATTCACGATAGTATTTCAGTACTTTCTCTATTATTAATTTGCTGCAGATGTGTTTATAATGTAACTCTGATAGCATTACTTTATATTATTGCTCCATGCTGTTCAATATGGATGACATACTTGACATTGTACTTACAAGAATTCCATCCTTATATCTTAACTCAGCAACTCTGCCTCCTTTTTCTAGAGTTAACTGTACTCCCTTAAACAGTGTGCAAGGGGGCCATGTTCAGCATAGTAAAAGCAATGACAATAATCAGTATTTTAGTCTAGCTCACCGCTTTCCCAAGCTTCAGCTCACTGTACCTCTTCTCAGTAGAGAGAATGCCCATGCTGCTATCATGTTGGAGTTAACTCACCCCGTTGTTCAGCTTTTCTTAATTGTAAGTTGTCAGATGTTCTGGAAAGGCAGACATGATACCTTGGGATCTAGCAGTCAAAAGACAAGAACGTTTTTTTTGTTGTTGTTGTTGTTGTTGAGTACTTCCTTACCCCTTTGGGAGAAGAAAATTTCAACAGCTTAGGAACTGTGGTTCCTCACTTCCAGGAAATAGTGCCTCTGGGTATATTTTTTGTTTGGTTTCTTTCATTTTAGGTCTCTCTAGAGGGTTCAGGCTCTGGTGACTCCAGCTTGAAAGTGAGAAAGTATTTGCCTCAAGAAGAAATGGCCTTTCTGAAGCTAACCAGAAACTTCACTGTCAGATCTCTGCACAGAAAGGGATTGCGTCACCAGCGCTGCCATGGCGCCACATAAGTCCAGTGAAAGCAGGGTACTAGGAGTAAGGGAAGTGCCAGTTCAGGGCCACCTGAATAAGCAAAAAGTGTTCCTGTGCTCTGATGACTCAGTATAGGCATGTCTTTATCTCCTTAACAGAGAAGAACTACATTCGGCCTATTAATCCAACCATTTGCTCCATTTGAGGTTCTAATTTCTCTGTTATTTGATGTGGCACGCCTCAGGTTCTCCCACTGGGGTTAAGTGAGAGTCACTGGATTCTCCAGGAACATGGTGTGTGGCTGGGTAAGAGCCTGGTGGTTGGTTTCCTTTGCTACATGAAATGGCCATTGATCAAGACTCAGATGTCCATTGCTTCACATTGCTTCTGTTGTGCCCAGAACTCCCCATTTCAAGCTGATCTCCCTGCATATCATACGTAAACACAAAACTTCACTTGCCAGAGAAAATTTTCAAAGTAGCTAACCAGCATATGGTTTTCAGAAATACTCAACTTGTCTGTTTTTTAAGTTGACATGGAACATTATTCCATTTAAAGTCCATAAAGACAAACCTTTCAGAAGCCAGGACTCTTGCTTATTTGCTTTGTTTTGTCTTTTGAGACAGGGTTTCTCTGTGTAGCACAGGCTGTCCTGGAACTCACTCTGTAGACCAGGCTGGCCTGCAGCTCACAGAGATCCACCTGCATCTGCCTCCCCCCACCAATGTTGGGATTAAAAGCATCCACCATCATGCATATCTTACTAGATATGCATATAACCTACTTTGATCTGTGTAATTATATATTTTAAATGCTCTATGCAGCACTCCTTGATAAACCAGGCTCACTTTCTCTTTTTTCTCCTACAATAAATAAGACTACTGAAATGTTGATAGCCAAATTATAAAAAAATTTATTTTTTATTCAGCATAGGCATTAAATATTTCAAAGCACTCATTCTCAACAATGCCATCAATACTTCACTTGACTTCAATAAAAACATAAGACAAGCACATCTGCATAATTCCCTTCTGTAAACTTTAAAAAAAAGGCAAAGAAAAACTTGCTGTAATTTCAGAAGTTTATCAAATTATATACCTAAAATTTTGAATGATCTGAAGAGGTTTTTTTAGTATAATTGATTTTTTTCCTTTGCCTAACCTAGATAATAAATGTCTAATTTGGACTGTCCATGCGGCACTCAGTTCCCAAATTAAACTCTTTCAGAGACTGCCATTTTTAGCGAAAGAGGGGGAAGTGAGAATTAAACACCCGGGCTCTTTCTATACAAGCACGGCCAAGTTGTCTGAAAACTGAATTTGGCCACTTCACTGTAGTTCATTGTCTGGCTGAGTATAGCAGGACCTCGGGAACTAAGAACAACCACGTTCAGAACCTCTGAACAGATTTCGTTAGTCTAGAGGCCAGCGCAGAGCTTAGGCATCTCCAGCCATGGCGCCTCGTTCTTTTTCACCATGCCCTTCCCCAAAACATACACTGTCTAATATCTAAACACGGTACCCAGGAAAGCATCTGGTTAAGGTCTCAAGGAGTGAGTGACCTCCACATGAAAAGGAGGCTGAGAACCGATGTGAAAGGTGTGAATATTGCCTGTGCCTACTCACTCGCTTGAGGTTTGTTTGTTTTTGTTTTTGTTTCTTTAAAAGGTGCTTCCCTTGTCTCCCTACCCAGGTGGCAAACCTGCTGAGGCTCTTCCAGATCCCCCAGATCAGCTACGCCTCCACCAGCGCCAAACTCAGCGACAAGTCGCGCTATGATTACTTTGCCAGGACCGTGCCCCCTGACTTCTACCAGGCCAAAGCCATGGCCGAGATCTTGCGCTTCTTCAACTGGACCTATGTGTCCACTGTCGCCTCGGAGGGCGACTACGGAGAGACGGGCATTGAGGCCTTCGAGCAGGAAGCCCGGCTGCGGAACATCTGCATAGCCACCGCGGAAAAGGTGGGCCGCTCCAACATCCGCAAGTCCTACGACAGCGTGATCCGTGAGCTGCTGCAGAAGCCCAACGCGCGCGTCGTGGTCCTCTTCATGCGCAGCGACGACTCGCGGGAACTGATCGCCGCAGCCAGCCGCGTGAACGCCTCCTTCACCTGGGTGGCCAGCGACGGCTGGGGCGCGCAGGAGAGCATCGTCAAAGGCAGTGAGCACGTAGCCTACGGCGCCATCACCCTGGAGCTGGCATCCCACCCGGTTCGCCAGTTCGACCGCTACTTCCAGAGCCTCAACCCCTACAACAATCACCGCAACCCCTGGTTCCGAGACTTCTGGGAGCAGAAGTTCCAGTGCAGCCTCCAGAACAAGAGAAACCACAGACGGGTTTGCGACAAGCACCTGGCCATTGACAGCACCAACTATGAGCAGGAGTCAAAGATCATGTTTGTGGTGAATGCGGTGTATGCCATGGCGCATGCGCTGCACAAAATGCAGCGTACCCTCTGTCCCAACACCACCAAGCTCTGTGATGCAATGAAGATCCTGGACGGAAAGAAATTGTACAAGGATTATTTGCTGAAAATCAACTTCACGGGTAAGCAGTGAACCTTTAGTCGCCCTCCGTGATGTAAACAGGTGGACTCAACCAGGAGTCAAACGCCTCTGCCCCTCACCAGACATCCATGGTGTAGAAGTTTAGAGCCACACAAAAGGGTGTTTATAATCTTAAACATCCCAAGATGCAATGATAGCCCTTTGATAGTCTTGTTCATTTTTTGACGGATATCTTGGCTGGTACACCACACGAAACTGAAAGGCCCCTAGGCAGGGTTGATGGCCCCACTGTGGCAGCCGCCGGGATGGGGCCATGCTACATTGACTCTCTGTCTTGTTAGCTGCAGGATATGACACGTATGATAGGGGGCATTTAATCTTCTGTAGCGGAATTGGCAACTGTCTAAGGAACACGAAATCCAAGCTTTCCTTGTGGGTGATTTGAGCAAAAGAATCTCATAACTGTCACAGTGGGTGGGAAAAAGTCACTTTTCCCAGAGCCTAATTAGGGAGAGAATAAGAAAGACAACCAGACAGTCATGGTGACTCCCAAGCACTGTGGTCTATTTCTTCTGCTATACAGAATCATTGCCCCTGAGGTCTTAGAAGTTGTGGGTTCTCTCAAATTATGTTATAAAGTGCAGCTTTCTCTGTGATCCTGAATAGAAGCAAACTGAAGACTGATTAAAGTCATTCTGATCTGTAACTATGCAGTGCCTCCAAAAATGATAGTGCTGCTTTTAATCTACTTCTAAATAAGACATAAATATTTATAAAAACAGTTTCACATTATTAGCATATTAAAAACAGGGTCTTTAGTTTTGCATTCGCATGCAGGTTCAATGACTCTGTGGAATTAAAGCCAAAGTATAAAATAGTAGCATTTATTGTAGTGATCCAGGGTGTTCATAATCCTACACAGTTAAAAGTCTCCTGTGTCATTAGGCAATGATTCTGGCCTGCACTATCAATTTCAATTTGTCACCTCAGTAATAGGAGTTTATTTGCTTAAACCATAGGTTCTGGAGCAAATAGAATCATCACATTTCCTATGCAGGTGGTCCCCTCGGTCTCAAGTGCTCTGTAACATTACAACAGTAGTGAGGAAGGACCCATGGCCAATGACTTCTATCTTGTAATTACCATAAACTTCGTGGAAGCCTTGAAACTAAGCACAACACGTCATTGTGCAGTTTTGCCTATATTTTTGCTCTTCATTTTTTCGCAAGGACAAAAATAATGAAAGTAAAGTCATCATACTTTGCATCCATGTGATGGGTACAACCTCTTACAATTTGAATGATTACTGAAGTACTAAAGATTAAGTATTTCTTGTCCTTCATCTTCACACTGTGTCTATTCATTTGGAAACAAACAAACAAAAGAAAAAAAAACAGGTTACCAATAAATTACCATTCATCTCAGAATCTCTTATCAGTTTCTACTGACATTTCCAAATAAACAGGGAAAGATCCTAAAGTCAGTACCAAAAGGTATCTTCCCTTCAAATTTACATATGAACTCTCCATAAAGACTTAATTCCTAAAGCCAGTTATCTAAGTACACACCCCACCCCCTGCAGACTACCTGTGAGATAAGCATTCCTCTTTATTCTCCACATATATTATCTGTCATTGCTATTGTACTTGCCCCTCACCTTGAGAGTATATACAACAGCCTCATTCATTAACAACCAAAGCAAAAGAAACTCAGATTTCAGAGATTCTTTGCAAGATAACCACACATTTTCCTTCATCTGACTGCTTGGGTCATAAAAAGCCAAGGAAAGTAAAGAAAAAAAGGCCACAATTTAGATAAATAAAACAAACATATCTTCTTTTTTTCTGCTTTGTTCAATTACCGGCTTCGATTCTACCATTCTCTTTGCCTGTGCAGACCTAACCACAAAGTGCATTCTGCCCCTCTCAATTAGTCAGACATTACCCATCATTCTCCATTTATGAAGAGAATAGGAGAGGAAAAACTGCAGAAAACACAAGTAATTAGACTAGCCACAAAGCAAGCATGCATGGAAATCAGAATTTCATGCCAAAAATGCATTATAAAGATACCAAGATTTAAAAAAATAACCTAAAAGGATTTTTCTAAAAATAAAACACTAACTAGACCTTCACTGAAAGGAATATATGTAGAATAGAGCATACATTAAAGAAAGTCCATTGAATTTATGGTAAACTGTGTGTGGGAGTATATGCTCGTGTGTGTGTGTATATGTGCTATATATGTTTGTGTATGCACATGCATGTGTCTATGTATGTGTATGTGTATGTTTGTATATTTGTTGTATATGTGTGTGTATTTTTGTGTGTAGTGTATAAACAGGTAGGGGGAGGTATGCACTTGTGCTGGTTGGTGGAGTTGCTTGTAACTTACTACTGTGTGTGCATGCATATGTGTTGATGTCATATGTCTTCCTCAGTTGTTCTCCATCTTATATTTTGAGACAAACTCATTGAACTTGGAGCTCATCATTTCAGCTAATCTGGGTATCCAATGAGCTTCATGGACCTAATGTCTCTGCCGTCTCAGCACTGGGGTTATAAATATACACCACCACCACACCTGGTTATTGCATGTGTGTTAGATCCAGAACCACATACTCATGTGTAAGATAGTGACGTAGTTCACCGCCTACGTCCATATACGTCTTTAGTCATGCCTAAAGTGGGTGTGGTTAGCAGTGTGGTAAACCGCTCTTTTATTACCTCATCTGTATGTGCCTCTAGTAAGTCATATGGCTAATGGTAGCACACGGCTTCCTCCTACACTCATGCTATGCATTTTACTGATTAAACTATCTCCCTAGTCATGTATATATATTTTTTAAGTATTTATACAATGGTACTGCCTTGATTGAAAATTGCCAAAGATAATTCTTCTTATTTTTGTTAACAGTTGCATATCATATGCATTTTATGCTTTTTTCTGAAATAATATGTTTTCTCTTTTGCATAATGACTCAGTGGAATAAGTATTGCAGTCAACACTAAGCTAGGGAACTCCCTCATCTGTGCAATTGGGGTGAAATGTCCTCTCCCTGCCATGTGCTTCTACCAAGTGCATCCAAGATCCTGTAAAGGGAAAAGGGCTGCCAATTCTGTAATAGCTAGGCTTTTATAAAACTTTGGTCACATAATCCCTGGTGTTTTGATGTACTCTAACTAGGTAGTCCCAGTATTGCATAGTGTAAGTCTTAGGAAGTTGAATAAGTTTAGAAATTCATTTGCTATGTAGTAGAGGTATGTGTTCTTCCACTAAATAGCAAACTCTGCTGGCCTGGAACATAACCACTGCCCACCTCTCTAGACAAATCTACAGTTCTTTCCTTTGTATGAAGATTGCAGTTCCCCAAACACACCACGCCTTCACTTTCATCTTTACACCTGTTCCTCCACCTAGCACAGTCTTCCCTCTCCTCCATCTGCTCCATCTGTTATTTCTGCATTTTTTCAAGTACTTTACCTTATACCTTCTGTCCAGGCATCCAAAATATATTATGGGCTTCATCTTCCAAAATCACCTATTATCTTATCACTATTAATCTTTTTCTGACCTGCCAGTCAACTACCAAATAACGACACAGAGACTTCTTATTAATTATGAAAGCTCAGCCTACAGCTTAGACTTGCTGCTAACTAGCTCTTCAAACTTTAATTAAGCCATTTGTACTAGTCTACATTCTATCATGTGGCATTACCTCTCTCCCATCTTGCACATCCTGTTTCTTCTCCATGTGTCCTGATGTCTCCTGTCCCTCAATTCCTCCTCCTCTTCATTTCTCTCCCACCTATACCTCCTAGCTAGCTATTGGCCACTCAGCTCTTTATTCAACCAATAATAATTTATCTTCACACACTAAACAGATATCCCACAACATTTCCCTCTTTTGTCTAAATTAAAAGGAAAAGTTTTAACTCTGTCATGGTAAAACTATATAGAGGAAGAATAAATATCAGATAAGAATTACATTTACAATATCCACTCTATCTGTATTTGGCAAATTCAGAAAAAATATTACATTATCTGTCCTATCTTGGTCAGTCATGAATTTTGTACCTAGTTTACTTTCTATCCTAATTTGTATTACCAACCCAAAACTAACTTCTTAGACCTCAAAACATTTTCTTAGATAAACATTTTAAGCTTTTACAACTCTCAGTCTTATAAGCTTGATACTTCTTTTCTAATTTTCTTTTCTGAATTTGGTAACAAGAAAAATTATAACTATAACTATCTCATCTTCAACTCCATTAGAGACCCAAAAAGAATATAATATTACCTGAGTAAACAGGAAGTACAGAGCAAACAATTTCCAAAACTACAGAAATGACAGAGACATCTAGTTTCCTGGACAGTAACCCAAGCTTCCTATGCAACACTGGGGCAGCCATCTTCAGCCTACAAGCCTAGAATATCTGACAGACTTTTCTGTGAAGCAGGAATTTTGAAGGACTGTCCTGTTTTGTCTTGATAAAGTTCAGGAATCACTTTTTTGTATATCCTGCTCATCCAATTTGAAGAACATATTGCCAGAAGTTGAGGCAAGGGCAGTTTTTTGCCTAGTGGATAACTTTTGCTAGAAACAGCAAACTCCATACAGAAGTTCTTGGATTCCCCTCACCCTTTTATGAATTAGATTCATGCTGCCAAAAGCAAAAGTGTCTCACTGTCATGAAAAGTTTAAATGCCATATTCTTTAGGTCTCTGAAATCTTTTAATACCACATATTTATCTAAAATGTATCTGTTTAACCTTTAAAACATACCTAACATAGCTACAGGTTTGATTACTATAGATGACTAGCTACTAACCTGTATTTCTCAATTATACATTCCATTTTTAATGATTTTCATAGGTACAGTATCTTAAAAAAGAGTAGGAACACATACATAGTTTAACAAAAAATGGCCTTAAATTTGTACCAATATACAAAAATTCATACCAATATAAAACATTTGAGACTAGTGGTTATTCAAATGTAGACTCAACAATCCACCCTTTCATCCCATCATTTCTACT